CTTTGTAACCTGGAAAAAATATTTGTTCCTTCTTTCTTTGATGTTATGGAACATCTTCTTGTGCACCTTCCAGATGAAGCAGCCTTAGGTGGTCCCGTCCATTATAGGTGGATGTATGTATTTGAGAGATACATGTACCACTTGAAGAAGATGATCAAAAACAAAGCTCACATTGCGGGTTCCATAGTTGCGCAATTTAAAAACGAAGAGATTTCAAATGCATCCTCTAATTTTTTTGGGCATCCTGAAATTTTAAGGAATCCAGAAGGTCCAAACGATATTCGTTTCACATACAACTATCCAAAGGTACCAAACTTATTCTACCATGAAGGGAGAGTTAGTGGACAATGCTCAAGTGGTTGGTTAAATGATGAAGATAACACCATCCTACAGACATTTATGATGCTCAACTGTGAAATTTTTACACCATATGAGAGGTTGTTTTAAAATATAGGGAAATATATACATATACATATAAGAATGTGATTAAAATATTGTTTCTTGGCAGGATGTTTGAAGAATATATGATAGGAAGTGTCCCTGATATTACTCCTCGTGGAATGCAATAAGCGAAAGACACCCAGTTTGCAACATGGGTGAAAGACTATGTGAGTTGTAGTATATATTCATTTAATTAGTAGAATTATAACTAATAATAATGTTATTGTATTGCAGATTAATGATGCTACTGCATTTTACACTTTTGATATGTGGCTGTTGGATTTTGTACAAGGTCCGAAGCGAAGTTATAGATCTTGGCCGATATACCACTCCCGGGGATATACTTTTCACACTCACAACCACGGTCAAGATAAGAGAACTCAAAATTATGGTGTTTGTGTCCCTGGAACCACTGATACGGATTACTATGGCCTTATAGAAGAAATAATGTTGGTAGAGTATCATGGTGATGTTGGCTTGAAAATGATGGTTTTTAAATGTCGTTGGTTTGATACAACGGAAAATCGTGGTATGAGAATACATCCGTTTGGGCTTGTGGATGTCTCACCACGTAGACAATATGCAAAATATGACCCATTCGTGTTACCAGGTAATTAAAATATGGATAAAATGATAATTTTGTATTATTAGATTTGTAACGATATTTGTCTTCATAGGTAATTGTGATCAAGCATGTTTCATTCCTTACCCGCGGGTGCGTCGATCTTCAGGAGATGAATGGTGGGCTTGTGCGAAAATATTACCACGAGGAATCCAAGAAACTTCAGAAGTTGTTTTAA